AGTCACATATATGCCAAAAAATCAGATAATGGGCTGTTTTTGTACATAGTGTTCAATAAGTGATCCTTAAGAGATATTGCTCTTATTGAAAGATGATGACATTGTTTACTTCATATTTATGTGAATTTGCACAGGCCAACATGTTGAATAAAGAGTCCTCTCTTTCCTAAGAAAGATGAGCCACACTAACGACAGTCTGTGAGTCACTAAACATCAACATTTGATCAAATGGGACACCCCCTCCCCCCCACCCCCAACTAAATCAAATAATTGGAAAACATTGAAAAGAAACCTGAAAAATATGGAAAGTTGCAAAAGTCCCTGTTAGATTATTTTGGACTTAAATTATTCCACAGAGTAAAGAAAGAAAGATTAGAAGTTAAATAGTATTTATATAATTACTGTTTTGTAAATTACTTCCCTCTCTGACCTGGCAGCCTTGTGATGTCATGTGTGCAATATAATTGTGGGTTCACGGAGCCGGACTAACGGTAGAGGAGAAAAAACACAGCTGGGCTCTGAATTTTCAAACAGACATTTTGTTAATGGGGATTTCTTCTTAAATCTGTTTCAGTTTATTAATTTGTTTCAATCATTGTTTAAAGATGTGCCCAGGAAAGGCTTTTCAAGACAGTAACTAACTTCTGAGGAAAATGTTGATTTAAAAAAAAAAAAATATCTGCTATAAAGTAAAAAAAATAAAAATAAAATAAAATAAATTTTCATGTGTGGCAGCACGGTGGCGCAACTGGTAGAGCTGCTGCCTCTCAGCAAGCAGGTCCCTGGTACAAATCCCGGTCCAGGGGTCTTTCTGGGTGGAGTTTGCATGTTCTCTCCGTGCATGCATGGGTTTTCTCTGGGTACTCCGGTTTCCTCCCACAGACCAAAAACATGCATGTTAGGTTGATTGGTAACTGTCCCTAGGTGTGAGTGAGAGAGTGAATGGTTGTTTGTCTCGTTTGTCTCTATGTGACCCTGTGACGGACTCATCCAGGGTGTACCCTGCCCCTCGCACAATGATTGCTGGACATGGGCACCGGCGACCTCCATGACCCAAAATGGAAGAAGCAGATAAAACATAATGGATGGATGGTTTTCATGTGTGAAGTTTTCAGAAGCAAATTCATTCAACCTTTATTTAGACAGGTAAATCCCAAATCCCAAATGCTGGTAAAAAAAAACCCCAAAAAAAACACAATCTTCTCAATGGTTTCATAGAACCTGAAGTTTGTTTTACTTATTTATTTATTTATTTGTTGCATTTAGTTAGTCAGTAAGAGAGATCATATCTCTCCAGTTTTAGCTTCTCTTTATTGGCTCCTTCAAATTCAGAATTGAATTCAAAATCCTACTTCTAACCTACAAAGCCTTCAACAACCTAGCTCCATCTTATATTACAGATCTTCTGTACCATATTTTTCCAACAGAGCGATTTGCTCTCATACTGCAGACTTACTTGCGGTTCCTAGAGTTTTCAAGAGCAGAATGGGAGGAAGATCTTTCAGTTATCAGGCTCCTCTCTTGTGGAACCAACTTCCAGTTTCTGTCCGTGGGGCTGACACATTGTCCAGTTTTAAGACTGGGCTTAAGACTTTCCATTTTGATAAATCCTATAGTTAGGGTTGACTTGTTATGCTGCCATAGGCTTAGAATACTGGAGGAAAAATTTACCAAATTTCCTTAAATTAATTGTTAAAATTGAAGTTTTCATTTGATATTATTTATATCCTAATGTGATTCTCAACCTGCCATTGTGTATCTGTTCCTCCTTCCTGTTCCCATCAAGCCCAACTGGTCGAAGCAAATGGCCGCTTGTCCTGAGCCTGGTTCTGCTAAAGGTTTCTTACTCATGAGGGAGTTTTTCCTTTCCACTGTTGCCTTCGTGCTCGCTCAAGATGAGAGTCTATAATGAAGTTAAACTCAAAGCAGTCTGCTCCTCAGATAAATAGTGTTATTAACATACTTTTTATGTACCGTATATAAATGTTTCTGTTCAGTGCCCTGAGATGACTTCTGTTGTGACTTGCGCTATATAAATAAACTGAATTGAAATTGAATTTGCATCGTTGCAGATAATATAACGGATAAAGACAGGTAAGTCATCAAGTCACAGAGTCTTAATATTTAATGACACGGCTGCTTTTTGGAAGCTTTGTATGAAAATCATCCTAATCAAGACATCCCACCATTTTTATTTTATAGCTGATTTCTCCAAAGCACCCAGTCCTGATTTTACTCTGAAATTAATCTCAATTGAACAATTTCTTGCGTAATGGAGGTTTAATTTATTTTGCATTTTAATAATTATGCTCCTGCATTTGATGGATGCTCCAAACAAGAAATTGGACGCGGAAGAGTTCGGTTTAAATTTGTAAAACAATAATCTTGTAAACATCAGCGCAAACAAACATCTGCACGCTTCATTAGCATCTCAGAAAACTGAAGCCTTTTTTAGTAGCGGATGATAAACAGGACACACAATTATAGTGAATGTTGTAAATAACGCAGCTGCTTTTTGTTTTGATTTTTCTGAGAGCAGGTGACTAAAGGCCACCTGTTCGTGATTCCTGCAGTTTACAAAACGTGGCTCAGAGCAGGGACACCTCCACCATCATCCATGTTACACTTATCTTAGGAATGTCTGTCTGTTATTAAAAACTCAAGAATCAGGAAAAGTCGTCATCAGCGACAGCATCCAGATATCCCCGGCATTCCTTTATCAAACACTTCCTGTAAACAGCCAAGAGTTTCCTGTGTTAAGACGCATTGCTGCCCCCTGACTGCTGCAGCCTGTGTTGAGCTGCCAGGTTTCACCCTTTACTGACAAAAAAAAAAAAAAAGCCAATCCTCTGCTGCACACAATCCACTCATATACTCTGAGCAAACGCCATCTGTTACATTTTCATTACAGGCTTTGCTTCAAGCTAAGACACTTACAGCTAATAGACTGCAAATGTTTAACCTCATACTGCCAACTTCACAATGCTCTGATGCGACGTCTGTATTGCATTTTAACGACCAATCAGCCCTCAGCCATCAATCATCGTGGCGCACACCTGGACTCAGCACATCCTGGACTCAGCACATCCTGAATATTTGACCACATTAGCTGTTAATTTGAAACAACTTTGCAGGCTGTTGCGTCACGCAGCTTTGAATCTTTTCCCGAATTTGAATTAAATTGGATTTTAAATTATGGTAAATTACTCGTAACAACTAACTGTGCTGGTAATGGCACTGTAATCTGGCGTTATTGTACTTTTGGAAAGAATAACAGTATTTTTGTCGGTGATGAGTGAGCAGACTGTTCTGTTTCTAAAGGAAGTGACAGGCTTGGATAAGCACCTTTAAACACCCCCCGGGGTTTGGTCACCCGCGAGGTGTGACGGTTGTTTCATGTAAAGTGAAGGCCTCAAGTGCTGCGCGTAAAAATGGAAGGTGATCTTGCTGTTGGATCTCAAGTGGGTGGCATGGATACGCTGCCCTCTGGGACCCCCGGGCCGTACGGAGACAATGATGGGGCTGTGAAGCGGGAATTGCAGAGTCGAAGGTCACCGGGCCTCTGTTTTCGGGTCCACACCACTAAAGTGACTCTTCAGAGACAACACAGAAAACGAGGTTGTGTGGAGGATTGTGATGGGGAGAGGTTGTGTTTGAAGCCTGGGACCAAAAATGGTCCATCCATCATATGTCTCTGCAGCCCTTTAGGGACTCACATCTTTGGACTCAATAAATTGTCCCCATGTAAACAACACATCACAGAAACAACATTTAATTAATTAAGTATTGTTTATTTGCAGAATTTCGAACTGCTGCTGGACCAGATCCTTGGACTTTGCAGGGCAGAGTGTGTTGTGTTTGGGTGGAGTTCATTGTTTCTTTTGCACATTTTGAATGCTTATGGTAAACAATACTAAATTTATAGAGTTGTCGAAACGTTGCCTTCTTTGGCGAAACGCGATAAGGAAAGTTGTTGTACTCCGAGTGCGTTCTTACCCTTCTCACAATTCACAGCATGAAAAATAACCCTTCCTGTTTATTGTCTGATAAACACATGAAATAACAAATAATTTGACTTGTTTCACAGAGCGGGCCACACAGGGCGGCGTTTCTTCTGCAGCTTTTGTTCACAGAACGAATAAAATCCGTTTGACGAAATAAAACAAATGACTTCAGGGGTGGTGAAACAAATAGTGTTTGCGATGGAATCAGGCGATGGTTTGATAAGTTTTCCCACCCTGCTGTTTCTTCAAGTGTCACGGATACTAACTTCAAACGATGCAAATGATTTAATGCATACCTTTAGCTGCGGCTGTGGTAAAGAATGGTGCGAGGAAGAAGTCTGGCGCAGATACAAAAGGTGGAAACCATGACCCTCATCTCACACCTTCCCCCCTTTCATCTGCTTCCCCTCATACGCTGGTATTTTGATTTCTGGATTCCTGGCCAATTGCCCCGTTTGCAATTCAAAGACTTTTCAACAAGCGCATCTGTTTGGGTATTATCACAAACCTGCATGCACCACCACCCCATCTCCTCCCCTCCCTTTGCTACCTCTTTTCCTGTTTCCTCGGCCTCGTGCACTTCCATGTTTGTGGTAAAAGGGGTGGAGAGGGTGAGGCAGGAGGGTTTGTCTGTGACCCAAAGAGTCAACGATACATAAGCCACATGACCAACTAGTCTTCTTATCCAAAGCGAGCAGGACTCACACACACAGGAACTCCAACACGTTCACAGCTTCACTCAACTTGCTGCCGGTTCTCTGACACAAGAAAAGAAGAGACGCACACACACTCCCAGACCTCCGTGGGAGAGCTCAGATAAAGACGTGCCTCCAGTCTTACAGAGAGGCACTGTCACACACTGATATACAAATACAAATTTAGGCACACACACATTCCTAGAAACAGACACACACGGGGAAGCAAACAGTCTCTCTCTCTTTCTTCCTCGCTCAGCTGCTCTCTCTTTTTCTCCCCCTCCCATCCACACACACACTCACACACACACACACACACAACACTACAGTATATCAGTGAGTGACTAGCAGAGAGCCAGAGGGGAGTGCAGAAATGAATGTGAAGATCCTGACGCTGGTGATTGTGCTCTTGGTGTCTCTGCTGTGTTCTGCCAGTGCTGGTGAGTACATGAGAGGCCAGCCTTGTCGCTCGTCCTCTCCTTCTGCTTCTCTATTTCTTTCTCTGTTTGCCATTTTGCTTGTGCAGGCAGCTGTAGTTGATCAGTTACCCAGCGTGGTTAGCCTTGTGTGGGCTCCAAAAGGCAGGAATATCAGCACCTGTTTGTGTACAGTACTGCACTGCAGTGGGTATACTGTCTGCTATTGTACTGCCATGGCTTTCATTGTAAACTTGATTGTGCATTCTGGGTTAGACTGGTTATTTTCCACCCTGCCTCACCTTGATGTGTGCTTCTAAGACTTGGAGATGAAATATGAGGAGGGCTTTATGTGTTGAGCTGTTCCTGGGTGACAGATATGCTGGATGTGTCTGTTATGAAATGTAAGATATGCATGGCACATGTGCTGCAAAGTGGAGTGGTACTGATTCATCTGTGGCTTGATTTATTCTGAGTATAATGTTAATTATAACATGACTATAATTGTGCAGCAGGAAAACACAGCACCAATAGATACACTGGGTTTTCTGTCAATGGGGAATACACAGATTACAGATGCACAAATTGCCTTTCAGTCCACTGAAGGACAGGTTATCTGTTCTCACTGTGGTGGACTTTAAATGTCTTTTACCTCAACATGAAGTTAGGAGTCGTATAGAGACAGGGCTTATTCTCTCTAGTGGCTCGTGGAGGGAATGTTTTGAGAAATGTGGTTTGGGGACCAGTTTGGAGACTGATGGGTGATCTGGGAAAGTGATGCAGGTAACATTATGGTGTGAAAAAACAATGTTTAGGCTTGTGTAAATCTACAGACCATTCCTGGGATTGTCACCTAAACACAAACTGTGGTTGTGTAGAAAAAACACAAATAACACAGACATGCTTATTATATATATATATATATATAT